GGACCACTTGCATTTAGTCTTTCTGATGAAAAGATAGATGGCTTTTAGTTCCTACTTCATAAATCATTTCATGAAACGCTTAACTTGATGTCCTGATTCAGTTTGGGGCTGGTTAGTATCCTGCTCTTTCATAAGCAATAGGGATTTGCATATTTATTTTATTATCCAGCATGAAGTAGGAAATATGGGCTACATGGTATGGAGCCTGACCCTCATCGGTCTTTCTGAGGGATGTGGGCAGGAGCATCGTTTGCCGATTGTAGCTTCACCATCCTGTGTAGAGCTTGGATTTTAATGAGGAAATGCAGTCAAGTGGTACGGTTACGTAGGGTAAGGCCGCAGAATAAATAGGCGTCTGTGGTAATTGTAGCTTTCATTAGCATGCTGCCCCTTTGAGGGTAGCAAGAGCAATTTGGGGGTCGCGTTACATTTAGATATTTCATCCTGGCAAATCAATTCTGTGCATGCCTATAAATAAGTCATGTTTTTCATCTGTGCTGCAAATCAGGATCAATTGGTCTGTGCTGAGCTCTGTGCTGCTGCCGGTTCCTGGGTAGCTGGCCCAAAGCTGACCCGTGCACCTGCAGCCCCCTGCCATGCAAGTGCCGTCTGGTGAAAGCAGCAGGAGCTGCTGTGGCATCTCTGCAACCCCTGTCGCACGACCACGCGAGCTGTGGAAGGACAGGCTGTCAGACCAGCACCGGGGCTTACATCTCCCTGCTGGGGGTCGCAGCTGGGGGAAGAGGGCTGCTTTTCCGAACCCGTCTCCCCAGGCTGCCCATGAGCGGGGGCCAGGGCTCCTCCAGTGCCTGCGGGCATCTCCCACCTAAGGGGCAGCTGGCTGGTACCTCTGGGAGGATGAAACAGGCTGGCATTGCGGTGGCTTCGGGAGGCGGTTGGGTTTTGAATAGGGATCTGAATTTGATAACGAACTCGGTGATTAAAAATCTGTTCTTATAATTGAACAAAGTCTCCTTTTAATATAGCATGAATGTGTTAAAAAAGTAAGCTGGATTGCAGGTGTTTCCAGTTGTACTTTCTAAGCGATAGCAATCTCTAGGAAATGTCATTTGTGTGGCGGTGAAAGGGTATACAAAAAAAATGTTGAAAGCCATAAAATGTATTTATTAATTGTTTTTAGTGTGGACAACAAACGATAGGAGTCCTTACTTCCAGCATGAGCTGTGACAGCTGAGCAGGCTATTCTCAAGCAAACGTTTTTGTCTTCAAGTATTTTACTGGGGGGGAGGGAAACCCCATGACTCTGGGGCGACTTGGAGTGCTCGGAAGAGATGCCATTGTTTTGCTCTCTTGTAGTACCAGAGTCTTTATTGAACCATTCACTTTCAGAGTAGCCCAAGGTTTAACTTTGTAGCTTTCAATTAAGTGGCTCTGTTGTTTACCATTATGCCCTCCTCACCCACTTTCATGTCTAAACAAACATCTTTTAACAATAAAATGGGAAAGTGAAAATTGCAGAGTATTGACCTTCTCATTTCAGCTCCCCGGAAAAGACAGAATAATCAGAGATTTGATAAAGCAAAATATCGTTAAAAAATATCAAATAAAAGTACCTTGGGTTGAAAGTGTAAGCCACATACCTTCACAGCAGTTCTTTTTAGGAGAGCATAGGGCAGATAATTAATTTTGTCCCAGCAGAGTCCTCTGGCTGAGATGTCGTTGAATGGTCATAAGGTGCTTACAAGTCAGGCAATGCTATGGGAATGGGCTAGCTGCTTAGTTTCTATTCATCACTGTCTCGGTGACAAGAGTGCCTTGGGAATTGGATGGCTACATACTTGTTATTAGACCTGCAGCTCTTCTGTCAGCCTTCTGGAATAGTTTTCAGCTTTGAATTATAATGTGAACTGAAAGGGATTTTTAGACATATTTATTATGACGCCAAGTCACTGCAGCCGTAAACTCCAGATTTTCTTCACTATTACAAAAAAGAGAAGAGAGTGAACGTTCAATTTTAACACGATCAAGATCTAATTTTAGGTCATAGAGTCATAGAATAGTCAGGCTTGCTGTGGTCTGTAGCTGTACACATTCATGCTGTGGTAACACCATGTACCCTTCCTTCTTATGCCTTTATGTCAAGTATACAAAGGTATGCACGCACCAGGTGAGTAAGGACCTATGCGTGTGTAATTCTTGCCGGCCAAAAGGATGAAGTTATTATTGGAAAGACTGGCTGTAATTGAATACACACTTTAAATATCCTACCTTTTTGAGGTTAGTTACTGATATTACTGAGACAACTACTGGCTTACAGAGAAGTGATTTGGTACACGTTTTGTCCCTCTTCATAAAAATCAACCATGTCATTCTATGATACTGTGGTCACTAAATTTGGGAATTTGAAATATTAGTATAGCTGATGTTTTTGACAGATTTCTTAAGGAAATTAGGCTTATGCAGTTAGGCTTTCTCTATGATTATCATATTGTCTGATATAGCTATCATATTTTCCTTTTTTTTTTTTTAACCCGTTACCTCATTTCACCTGAGCTTGAAAGAGAAGTAGTAGATCTTCTTCAAGTATTGTACAAATGGGTGGTGAGATGGAAAAGAGAGAGACTGTTAGTTCACAGAAGTGAAAAAAAATAATTGCACAATGACTAAATCTCTGATTATGAAAGTAACCACATAGAGGAATGCATTAAACGCCACGACCCTGGGGAAGACTATCAATGAACCAGACCCCTACTGTGCCTCAGGTAATCCCATCCAGAAGATGCAAATCTATAAAGAATCAATTTCTGTTCGTTTCTAAGAATATTTTTTTGTAAACTTGAAATGAAATTCTACTTGTATTTTCTAGCTGATAAGGGAGTAGCTTATTTTTACCTTGTGCAGTTCTTAGAAGAGAAGGTGAATTGTCAACACTCTACATATGTGTCAGCGGCAGGAGGAATCTTATCAGTTGTTGTGTTGTAGAAGTTCACTATTTCCTGCATTCAGTAATTTGTTGTGCGTGATAGGTTTTTGGGGTGGGTTTTTTTGGTGAGTTTCCTGCATCAGTGTTTATTGTTGAAATAATTATTGCTAAAAATCTTTAGTGTTTTTTAAACAAACATATTGATTTTCCTGGTTGAATAGATACACCATGTATGGTGAAAAGTTAAAAAGCTAATAATAGAAACATATATTAATTTTACGTCTATTTTTAAGTGTTATTTTTTGTGGGCCTGAATGTCTAGTTAGGACAGTCCTGGGTGTGCATTAAACCTGCAGATTTTAACATTATATGTTGGTTATACGTTGTCCTTGATTTAGACAGAAAGCTTGAATTACTATAGCCATAAAGCTATTTTTGAAGGTAGTAGTTTCAAAACATCACAGCCTTCCAGTAGATATTAATAATGTATATTTTCCAGTACGAATACTTTTATTGACTGTATTCTCCAGGGAGAAAGATGCACTTAAAGATCTTTTTACTAATTTTGGCTTCATTTGAGGCCAAGCCTTGAATGAAGTCATGATTTTACTCTCATGCCATGGAGCTATGTTCATTTAATTGGTGGTGATTGAATGTCGGCTCCTACTGATCAAAATTGTTTTTGCTTATATGGGCCTGTTTCCTACACTCTTCCTCAACTATTTCTGCTAAAGAAAAAATTAGGTTTTCTGGTATTTTTGAGCTGCTGTTTAGTTTCTACTATTATCTTTCAGCTTCCCAGTAGAAAAAAGCCACAGAGTAACCTCTTCAAGAAGTGATTTGGGCTACCAGAGAATCCAGTCTATCACCAAGCTGCTGCTAATAGCTGTGCCAAATATTTATTTGGTGTCTTAAAAACGCACACAGCCCTGTGAGGGTATTAGAGAATTGGGTTAGTGATGTTCTTTCTAATTTTAACATTTATTACAAAGACAAAAACAAGATGTTACAGGAGATTTTTATGGTTTTGGCGTTTAAAAAAAAAAAAAAAAGAGAAAAGAAAAAGGTAAAAATAAAAAGCCGATCAACCCCAAATCTTTTGATTGGTTGCTTGTAAGTTGTGAGATGCAAAGAACCAAGCTCATACCATAAGTTTTAAATGACTTATTATTGAAGTTGGAAGAACATGATCTGACCATTGTAGTATCAGGTGCTCCACACCAGTTTCCGTGTTCTCCCTCACTGAGAATCTGGGGGCTCCTGGAGCTCCTAGATCTGTGTCAGTGCCTGCGTAGGCATAGGAGAAGGTATTCCTGCAGCTGTGCCTTTTCTTGGGTGGATGTGATAAGACAAAGGCATCGGGTTGGACAAAATCATTCGCCAAGCTGGAATTTGAACGCTGAATTAAGGAGAGGAAAGTTGAAACGGTCTCCATTAGGGAACGTGCTGAGCATGCCTATTGTATAACGCTGCAGCAATACTAAAACGCAAATGGCTGCTTGCTGTGCACAGACAGTTCTTTAATATCTCAGGATTTGGTGCATAATAAGCTAAGACCTTTTTTTCATGCTACCTATGCAATGAATTCTTATTAACAATATTTGTTAAGGAATATTAAACATCTACATTAAACATGTATACATAATTCAAGTTTACCAGTGTGTGACAAAAGAAAACCTGTGTTAGAGCAACAAAATTTGCAGAGCTAAGCAATGAATAATTGGCAAATAGCATCATTTTTGCAATCTTATGACCCTTTACTGTGTATTTGTTTTGCTATCCAAAGCAATGTGTATTTACACTTCAGAGATGGCTGTTGAAGCCAAGAATATATTTCGCGAGAGTACTGCAAGTGGTCTAACTGTATTAGGGCAGCATTCTGCTTCACAAATTAGTTCTGCTGAGAAGCTGGGTCTGTTGGTACAACTGATCTGCTTCTGCTGGTTGTGCTGGCTTGTTCGAAGTGAGCTGAGCTAATGCAAATCCTTAGCTATATGTTCAGACACATAGCACAGATGAATGAATACCTGCTGCATTGTAACACTGTTTCGAGGACGCCTGCATTTTTTTATATCTGCTTTGTTTAACTTCTCCTTTATAACTGGCCTCAGTGATCATGAGAGCTCATGGCTTTGCTATTTCATTTATATTTCTCTTAAACAGTGAAGGAAACTTGAAATTCACTGTTTTGGGATCAGAGTCCAACTCCTATAGGAAAGGAGGTTTTTTATAACCATTTACTTAAGCCTTCAATTTTTCTGTCTCCAATTTTACCTCTTCCATTGTGCTCTTATTCAGTCCTTATTGCCATTCTCAAAAACTGACTAATTTAGGCAAATTTGCACGTGTTCGGGCACATCTTTGACATTTGAGAGATATCTCCACTAAAAAATTTCAAGTCTTTTCCTTAAAGTTCTTGGGAGTGAGAGTGCTTTTAAGCCACTGTAGTTGAAAGATTTCTTTTAATTATTATTATTTTTTAGCAGAGATAAACCATTTTGTCTCTTTTCACTTTTAAAATATTTTTGCAAAGTTTAAACATACGTGAAGGTACATACGAAACCTGCAAATGAGATGAAAGACAATGGGTAAAATGTGAGAGAATAAGAGCAAACTCTTCATGTTCCCCTTTCCAGAAGAACATATTTAGAGGTCAGAGTAGCCAACATAATTGATTCCTGCCAGAGGCAGTATGAATTTATATCTTTACCCTTGACTTGACTTTTAGCCTATATTTATTTAGCCATTTAAATTGTTGTAGCCATTTCTTTTGACCATCCCCTTGGCAGTCTCATTGTTGACACTTACACTTCACTTCCTCCGCGTTTGAAGTCATAATGGCTGGAAATATGTTTGAAATAAAGCGTGTAGGCTACGACTAAATACTGCGTCACTCTAACTCCAAGTGTTAATGCTTTCTCAGTTAAAGCAAGCATTGTGTCGTATAAGGTATATTTCCTGATGGGGAAGTTCTGTCTAAATATTTAAATTGTAATCTTCACACTATTTTAGCTGTGATATGCAAACATACTGTTTTAAAGATGCAATTAAGGGTGTTAAGAGAGCCAAGTTGATTTTAAGGTGGCCGGAAGATAAATTAAAGGAATCCGATTGCCTTTTATTGAAGGGGAGAGGGATCAATGTTCGGAAAAAGAATTTTGAAAATGAACAAGCCAAGCTATCATTCCCCCAGAGATCCTATTATTTAATGTATCTGCTTTGTTTTTCAAACGTTTCCTTTTAAAGTGTTTTAGAATTGATCAGAATCCCATTGTGTTTGAAAACCAGGCAAAATTACAGTGCCAGCAGAACTCATTCACTGATGTGGAGGTCCAGCAACATACTGTAGGGAGGAGCATGCGTTCCCTAGCAGCATTGAGATGGCTGTAAAATACCCTGTCCTTCCAACGACTCTCTTTGAGCTGAACTACTTTTTTTTTTTTTTTTTTTTTTTTTTATCTAGCAAGGCTAGGCAGTGGTCATTGAGGACTGCAGGTGTTTTACATCTGAGTAAGATTTCAGGATTAATCCCTAAGTCCCATCCCCTTAATGAAGTAAGAAGCAAGGCAATTAGAGGTTAGATGCTTGAGAGTTAAATGTTTTAATCCCCAGTATCCGGGTGGTTACCCTTCAGCATGGAACCACAGCTCAGCTGTTTGCTATCGAAGCTCCTGTGCTCCACAGTCACAGTCCAGAGAACAGAGCATAGGTCACTCTTTCTCTCAAAGCATCTTTCTTGTAAAGATCTGCTGCTGAATGGGTTTCCTGTAATTTACACAGTAGTTTAACAGCTAAGGAACTCACCAGGATGCTCGAGAGCTGAATTTGTTGTTTAGTAATTGCTGCTTCTAAGCTATAGCTTAGCGGAGAGCACCTTAGTCCTCTGCTTAGGTGGAGATAGTTTCACTGTATAGAAAATAATGCCAAGATTCATAGTCCAAAGGGTACAGGTAGAATGCCAAGTGCTGTACTGTATTTACCAGCCTTCAGGTACACAATCACTCACTCATGGTTTTGGGCCTGGCCCAACCTTTCCGTCCCTTTTCCTTCTCAACATGCTCTGCACTCGTGCTCCATTTTCCTTTTGTTCTTAGATACCTTGCTTGGAAGAACACCAAGTTTCAGGCTCTCAGGGAGACCTGGACATTAAGTTATTCAGGCATCTCAAATCTCTGTAACTTCTGGGTACGCGCAAGAAGCGGCCTTTATGCTAAGGGAACTTCAAAGTGAGAAAGTGAGACCCTGAAAAAACTCACATGCCTTTGAAGACGACAGTTTGGTGACAGATGGGCAGAGCCTTCTAGGAAAGGGGTTTTGATCAGAGGAGGGGTCAAAGACAAGGGCACTGGAGTAATTTAAAAGTTACTGGTTTCTCAATTGAAAGCAGCTGTTTCTCAGTCAATGGGCAGTAATCAGCCATTTGTATGCCCCTGAGCCCTTGCAGGGGTAGACTGAGCAGGTGTAACTGTGACTGGTGGTGGCTGTACTGTGTTGCGTGGTAATGTGTACCTGTCAAAACTGCACATCACCCCCCCGCCTTTGTTTTCCAGCCCTAGGGAATCTGGCACCAGTTCCCAGAGCAGATTCAAGATAACTGTGTCAGGGACCAGTGCTCCCTGTATGTTACTGTCAAGAGCTGGATACCTTCTGATGGAAATCCATGTCTTGTTCTGGGAATCATTAACTCAGAATTGGGAAGAATCTGTTGGAACAGTGACTGAGTGCACAAGTGTTTTCAGACCTGCACAGTTTTTTGCTCACTTTCTTTTCCTTGTTCTGACTGATGAACACTTTAGTTACCACATTAAAAGCGGAATAGTGTCAGCAGGAGGCTGTGCTGCTTTGGGGACTTGCCCAGAGGCAGGCTGCTAAGGGTTGCACAGCTGTGAGGCCGGGAGCGTGGGCAGTAACATGCCGGGTGCTTTCTGGCAACTGCAGCAGTCGGACAGACTCCTCAGCTTTGGGATGAGTAACTTGATGCTGCAGTCCATTTGCATCTCCATCACCATTCCCTCTCTGCATAGCCCCCCAACTCTACAGGCATTTCCTAATTCCGAACAGGATCAGCAGATGCACTGCACCTCCCTTGTAAGATAATCGCTACTGGGGGTTGAAACAGAAATACCACTATAAAACAGCAAGAAGATCTCAGTAACATCTTTTCAGTTGTTTCCGCTTTGCAGGGAGTGCCTGTATGTGTGGAGTTCTGTCTAGTACAGCATGCTGCTAGACACTGGCGTGCTTCTGCTGCTGTTTACTGTCCAAAACATCATAAAGACTGCAACTGCTGTGATTTTGAAGGGTCTGTAGCTATAGTTTTGGGAAATGTCTTTTGCTGTGGGCTTTTTCCCCCCAGTAAACTCATATGAAACTTGTTGCCTCAGGAGAGCAAGTCAAATGAATTTATAAGAGGCTGTACGCTGTCGTATAGCAACATTTCAGCCTTATGCTTAGGGGAAATTGACTGCAAGGATGAGGAAGCAGAGCCATGTATCTGCAGTGGTTGTGGCTGGATTTCTCATCCCATTGCTTTCCACTGAAGCGTTAAATACTGACTACTGCTGGGGACAGGATATTAAACTTGGTGCAATCGTGTATGTGCTTCTCAGAGCTTTTGCATCCTAAGAGGTGAATGAACTCCCTTATTATAAAACTTCTGTCCTAGTCCTTGTAATTAAATAATACCATAAAAATGTTGTATAATGTATCTGTAACTTCTAGTTTTGACTTACAAAGGCAAGTTTAAACCTGCCCATAACTCCCTCCTGCTGTGCTTAGGAGCTGGCAGACAAGGTAAAATGCTTTGTCAGCAAAGCAAACCACATAATTAGAACTAACTTTCTGTTGCACTGGGATGAAACCATGAGATTCTTGCCACCTCAGTCCTAGGATTTCCTGTAGACAGACTTTAATGTTTGCTGAATTGTCATTTTGAATTAGTCCTAGAGGCTCTGTAACCTGGTAAGCCTATCAATTTTTTTAATATTTTTTTTTTTAGCCCTCAGCTTCACATACCCACCCTTATCCTGTTCTAGCTTCATTTAAAGCCAAAAGTTGGTTGCGAACCTCTTCATGCTGTCGCTTTGCTTTTTCCAGGAACAAAACTGCTGCTGGGGCTTGAAGAGAGCTATAGGATGCATAGGAGACATTGAAAATACTTGGTACTAAACCAAGCGTGAGCAAAGATAGCAGAGGATCTACTGAAGTGCTGTGCTTACAGGGTCAGAACATAGCAGCTGCATCACTGAGACTACCTCTGTATTAGTTAGAAAGATAAGAAAGGTGCAGGCTAAGGACAGTGTTCTCTGGCATCTGCTGCCAAGTGGCAGGGTACTGTTCTCGTCCGCAGTGCCTAAGCTGTCAGCCCTCTGCCAAAACCCAGGTGCCCTCATCCAGCCTGCCTGCTGGGAATGGTTCTGGCACCTGCTTCATCCTGCGTTATCCAGGAGAGCGTGAGGTGGCCCGGGCCAAAGCTCTGAAATGTGCTAATTGTTAAACAGTATGGCCAGTACTGGAGTCTCTGCCTGAACCTTGCCTCACGTACTAGTAGTCATTTAGGCCAGCTTATGTTAGCTTCCTGACGGATTTTTTTTTTTTTTTAAAACGTATGAACATAGAAATGTTGGTTGGGAGGGGGCTCTGGAGGTTATCTAGTCCAGCTTCCTGGGTGGAGCAGAATGCAGCTGGCTCGCAATTAATGAGTCCTAAGGTAGCTACAGGGAGGTAAAAAGTTCTTTTTCAGTGAGGAATGCAATTGTATTTTTTTTCTTGCTTTCAGTGGTAAGTTGATAGTGCTAGGTTGTGTGTCCCACTCAGTGAGTCTAGCATGTCATCAATCCAAGGCAAACTTTTTGCCTGGATAAGTTATCAGCACTGCTTGCCTCTGCAGTGCTGCAGGCGGCGTGGTGGCAGCTGCGTGTCCTCTGAGCAAGCTCCAGCTGTCCTTGATCTCTCCTCAGTTAGTTACGGGTACACTTTCTCCTTAATTACGTGCAATTCATGTTATATTTCTACCTCTGCTGGTAAATTTCTGCTTGGATACTTTGTTTTATAATCTTCTGCTCAACCTCAGGAGTATATTAGGTATCTCATTTCTTAACGTGGGAAGGAGAGTGTTTTGGAGGCGATTGGTGTCTCTGACTGGAGTGAGGAATTTCTGAATTCCAGGCATTTATTGAGCACTAACTTGTTATACAGTCTTTGTGACCTCATTGTCTTTTATCTGTTCATAATATTAGAATTATCAGATGGATTTCTTACAGGGGTGACATTGACACTAATTAGATCACATATGTTTGGTAATGGGAACTGTAGTGTTCAGAATGATTTCTTCTTACTTGATTTCATCCCTGATTGTGAACATTTCTTCCTCCTGTGGCAGCCAAGGGAGGGACCAAGTGAGAGTGTTTGCAAAGAAACTCCCGTTTTTTCCTTGTTTGAAATTTCAAAACATAATCAAGAAATCGGGGATGCTATCAACATCAGAATAGGAAAAATACTTCCCAAAAGCAATCCATTACACATTACTATAGCAATATAACCATCTCCATACACGTCAAGTTAGAGTATGACTTTTGATGTAGTTTTTTTTCTTTCCTATGGCTTCAGTCTCCTAATTAATTATATTTAGTTTCATACTAAATGGTTATTCAAGACCAGAAGTGGCAGCTTATTGATATTTCTAAGTAAAAATTACTTTGGAGATTATGACTGCATATTCTGCAGTTGGATGTTTCAGTGCCTCATTGCCTCTGTTCCTGTTACAGGTGCATGTGACAGCATTGCAGCGATGAGTGGAATTTTAAAGAGGAAGTTTGAAGAAGTTGATGGCACCTCACCTTGTCCCTGTGTGTGGGAATCAGATGATGACATTTCTAGCAGTGAAAGTGCTGACAGTGGTGATAGTGTCAATCCATCCACTTCTAATCATTTTACCCGTAAGTACTGAAGTGGTTCATCTAAAGAATTCTTCCTGTTCCTCAAAATAAATTATATTTTATGGTTAGATAAACACGATTTTAAATTGAACAGATGATAAAATGGACTCTCTGTGGTGTTCAGTTTGTGACTTGCTCATAACAATTTTGCAAACTATGTAAAACTATTTGTCATTGTAAAAATTTGAAATCACTTGGAAGTCCTTACCTGTTTACTATTTGAATTATGTAGCTGTTTGTAGTTAGTGTTGGGAGTTGTACTTAAGGTATTTCAAACAGGTACTGTAGGGAAGGCACTTTAGATAAGTTTATTTTCCTTAGATAAGTGTAGTGCAGCTGACAGCTATCTGCAGTATTGTATTGGTGAGAGTTCTTCTCCAAAGAAAATAATAAGCTTTCTTTTATTTGGAATTGAGGAACATCGTGTGCGGCACAGATGATTACGATACTTTCTACACATAGGGGAGGGTGTCTCTGTACTCAGCAATGGTTTTATGTAAAGATAAGAATTTGGTTTTAATTTAGCAAAGCGATATATGTAGCATATATATCTCAGAAGAATGAATTTATGGTTTATATTTGTAGTTTATGATACTTGTTTTAGGTGGTTATACTGTTTTGATAGTGAACTGCAGGTTTTAAAAAGCAGGGCTTTGCCTGTTTCAACTCTGTTGCATATGGATCTCCCCCCTGGAGTTAGTGCTTATAAGGCTGTTTTCTTAAGTCTGTGGGCCAAGGAGCAGGTGAGGCTCCTCACCACTGCCCGCACACTATGTGATCCTGTGGTTTAGATTGTGCCTAGAAATCACGTTTGTAGCATGTGATATGAATGTTCTTATAACTGATTCGTCTACCAAATGCCGCTGTGCAGTTTGAGCAAGGGTTTGGATATGAGGGTCTGAATCCTCTTTGCTCTGGTATGGAGCACTCCTGTGCAAAGGGTTACACAGGCACAACTTTACAAATGTGTTTACATGGAGCAATCTTGATGTGGTATGTTATATTTAAGATGCAGTACTAGCAGGGGACCTGTTTTATTGAAAGGCCACAAAGGAGTAAGTGACCCAGTAAATCTCTTTTGTAGTATTAAGAAATAGCTTGGTGATAATATTATCTGCAGGCTAATCTTTTAACTTTTGCATCTGTTTAAGGACTTAGTTGATCATTCATCATAGACTGAAAGCAGTCCTTTTACATCAAACAGTCATTGCCACCCACATAGGAGACAGCAATTTTATTGTGAATACACAGATAACACAAAGGAGTCTAAGGGAGAAACTTATACATGCATGTAACAATGAGCTTTGAAGTTGACAAAATAAATAATTTAGGTTTTGAATAAAATCTGTAAGGGAAACTATAGTATTTCAGACTTATGATTAATGACCTATATAATTGAGATATTTGTGGCTAGAGTAATAAATGTTTATATGTGTGCACACATATATAGAAATTGTACATATTAACTTTTTAAAAATACATATATATCAGTTGGTGATATGGAAATAGAGTAAATTGTTTGCATGTGCATTGATACTACTTTTTAAAAAGTACTGTCTTTAGTATAGATGCAGTAATCTCAGTATTATATAATACCAGTTTGGAAAGAAAATAACTGAACAGGTGGCCTTGGTGCTGCCTTTGAATAGGCAAATCTCAAGGTCCTCAAGGCCAAGAGTTTTGGAGACTAGTTTCTATGCCACTGGAACGTGACATCTTTCAGTGTCTGATATTCTGCTTTGCTCGTACTGTAATATGGTGTACTTGCAGGAGCTTGATAAAGGTGATATTTTTTTGTTAAGAAAACAGAGAAGGTTGATGCTCAGATGAAGTACAGAATGGAAAGGTGGTTTTATCCCTACCTAGTTACTTGCATCTTGCACGCAGACTCTCTTGTAGTGTGCCTCATTGTTTTGTAACTTTACCAAGGACACTCCATGTTGCATCTGATGGGAAAGTCAAATTTTGTTAATTTATTGTTAAAATGCTGCAAGTGAGATTTTGCACCTTCTTCTTTCTTAATATTAAAGCATATCAGTTACTTACATGTTTGCACAATCAACATCTACCAACGTTAGAAAAATCACTTAGCTAGCTTAGGCACAGCTGCTATATATAAGAGCAACTCTGCACTAAAAAGGCGAGTCTTAGCGACGATGTGTATGATAGTAAAAGTTAATTTGTGTTTGCAATAAAAATTAATCATGTTTATATTTAAAATAAATGTAAAGGAGTAAAGATACTTGGCGAATGCTGAAAGATGTTTTTAACTTGATAACTGACTACCTCTAGAAAAAACAGGGGGTTTGTTGAGATTGGATTTTTATTTTGTTTTATTCTTCTCACGTTTTCTTGAGTCTTCATGTGCCTTAATTCTCGAAAGAATGTTTTAATTGGACAATTGGTGAAATTTTTATGCACACAGGATTTATTTTCATTTTGGTTTGTATTAGTTGATTGACATCAGTTGTGTGTGTGATGTTGGATGCTCTTCAGGGCAGGAGCACTTTTCTTTGTTTGTACTTAAATTATTTTTTAAAAAAAACTTTCACATTTTTCAAACAATATCGTTTGAAAACACTTAGTTTGAGTTCTAGGAAGTGATAAAAAATTAACTGATCCTACTGAGGTGCTTGGCCTTGTATTGTCAAAGCAGAATATGTGCAAATTGTCAATATTCGTATCTCATGAATACAGGTGTCTTAACAGAGCTACTGAGTGATGCTCACTTGAACACTACATGCAGATGTGTTGTACAATAACAAAACTGTTAACAGTGTACACTGCAAGGTGTTTTGTTCATTCTTTAAACAAATTCGTCTCCCAAAATATAAAAGCTTTCCAACGTTGAATATTTGAATCCCTACTTTTAAGGGCATATGGCAAGGAAGAGTTCTGTGAGACTTATTCAGTAAACAGACTGAAAAGAGCCAGTGCAGAGGAAAGGCTGGCCAGATTCCTTGCCTCTGTTACAAGCCTGAGTACCTCCTTGGTGGAGGTTATCTTTCTAAGCTATTTCCTGACACTTTGTACCGTTTTCTTTTCTACTTTGTGAGACACTGTCTGATCCTGTGTACTGTATTCCTTATGGTCCATTTCCATATAAGTAAATCCGAAGTTCAGTATAAACTCTCTTTTACTGACTGGAAATGTGCAGGTTGTGGTGACTTGCAGTCAAGACCAAGATCTATATGTTAATTCTTTAACTGAGCTTTTAAAAAAAGCCTAACTTGGTCCTTTAAGTCTTATTTTCCTTTCTAATTGACCTGACAAAGGGGTAATTTTTTAATCACATGCAGCTACAACTCTTTCAGTGCTTCAGCAAGCTGGCAGTTTGCGTATAAATCTATCTAGAATAGCTGATGCATCTCAGTATTTACACAACCCTTGAAACAATATGTATTGGGTCAGATAAACAAGAACCTTTCAGATATCCTGCTCCATTACCCTTAAGGTCAGTTTAACCTGCCAGCTAAATGAGGCACACAGCTGCTGTGGATCATTCAGGTGGGGCACAACCACCAGAAGATAGCTTTGATCTCAACAATTAACCCTGTAGTGTGATGGCAGAAAAAACATGACTGAGACATCCCTAAGTGCTATCCATTGTGATTACTACACAGGGATAAGTACAGAGTTTCTTTAACAATATATCCATTTAAATAAATCAAGACAGCAACAACAACAAAAAATCCCTAGCCTTTAGATGCTAGATCCCAAAGCATCTTTTTCTGAGTCAGGAAATGAAATTACAGTCCATAAAGCGTAGACAACTGTTACCAGGTTCATAACCAAAAGATAAATAAATGCAGTATTTTCTCAGTCAGGTATGTGTGGGTATACACATTGCACATTTTTAAATCTCTTATCAAATGGTGATGGAGTGCCTTCATTACTACTGGCAGATATACCATCTTTTTTACTTACTTTCTTAGTCATCTTAGAATGGTTAGAGTTGGAAGGGACCTTGAAGATCATCTAGTTCAACTCCACTGCCATGGGCAGCAACACCTCCCACCAGACCAGGTTGCTCAAAACCCCACCCAGCCTGGCCTTGAACGTTTCCAGGGATGGAGCATCCACAGCTTCCCTGGGCAACCTGTGCCAGTGTCTCATGCCCTCATAGTGAAAAATTTCTTCCTGATACCTAATGTAAATACACTTTCTTCCAGTTTGAAGCCATTACCCCTTATCCTGTCACTACACAACGTTGTAAAAAGTGCCTCCCCAGCTTTCCTGTAGGTGCCCTTCAGGTACTGGAAATCTGCTATAAGATATCCCCAGAGCCTTCTCTTGTCCAGGCTGAACAAATCCAACTCTCTCAGCCTGTCTTCATAGTAGAGGTGCTCCAGCCCTCTGATCATGGCCCTCCTCTGGACTTGCTCCAACAAGTCCATGTCCTTCTTATGTTGGGGGCTCCTGAGCCGGACACCGTTCTCCAGGTGGGGTCTCATGAGAGTGGAGTTAGAGGGGCAGAATCACCTCCCTCGACCTGCTGGCCACGCTTCTTGTGATGCAGCCCAGGATGTGGTTGGCTTTCTGGCCTGCGAGCACACATTGCCAGGTCATGTTGAGCTTTTTGTCAACCCAACAGCCCCAAGTCCTTCTCCTCAGGGCTGCTCTCAATCCATTCTCTGCCCAGCCTGTATTTTTGCTTGGGATTGCCCTGACTCATGTGCAGTCTACTGAGGTCATTTCAGTATGATCCAGCAGGCCATTAGTCATGGATGCCCAAGCGTATCACTAACCAGGCCACATACCTGTCCCATTTCACGGCCCCTCCTCCATATCAGAAAGAGGGGTGTTTATCTTCAGGTAGCAGTCTCACCATGCGTATACACTATTAGTCAGGACTAAGAATATTTTTCCCCTTTTTCCTTAGAAGTACATGGAATACAGGGCAGGAGCACACTGAATGCCATTTCAGCTCCTTTAAATTGCCCTGTTGAGCTAGGGCACCCCGCTGCTGTGTTTCATCAGCTCCACAGCACATTGACTGG